TTGGGTTATATTTTCACGATATTTTCTTAAATCTAACCAAGCGTCAAGCATAACAATTTGAACCCAATGCATGATATTTTTGTAAACCTCGATTTGTAGGTGCCTAAACCTCACCAATCAGTGAAAATGAAAGAGACAACTAAACCTCAGCATGACCAAACCCCGGTCTGCTGGAGGAAAGTCCTGCTGCAGACTTGTCTCCACCTCCTGACTTGGACTTTGTGGCTTTTTCTTTCGAAGAGAAAATAAACTTCTTTCAAAAACATATATGAGAACTGTGTGGGAAAGTAATATTTATCAAACAACTGATTCAGAATGTAAATCCTGCACTCAATAGATGTCGAGGTTCTGTGGCTTTGTATACCCCAAATCCACCCTGAACTCTTCCCTGCAACTGTGGTGCAGTACTGAAAGTAAACACTAGAAGCTATGGTTTAACTCGACAACAGAACGTAATCGGGAATTTCTAGGAGACAGGATTGATTTTCTGACATCGAGTAAAATTCCAAGTTGTTGAGACTTAAGCACACATTTCCAAAACAAACCTCGTCTGTCTCTTACTTCACCAAAGAAAGTGAATCACAGTAACTCATGATCTCAGCTCATTACAAAGTGAGAACGTTCTGGCAACAAGTATTCTTCAGTTACAGAATCATTTCAGAGCTTGTACAATTCACAAACTGACTGTCGAACTGATCACTCATCAAGTTTTTCAGAAACATCAGAACTTTACCAGCACACTCTTGTAGTGTTCTGCTGTAAAACTGGCATTTCAGAGTCTGATCAATTGAACATCGGTGCACTTGAAATCCAATTCGAGAAACACCAGCGTATTACAAAAAGATAGTCGAGTGTTAAGTAACTGCAAGACATCACGTTGCATGTTGGTTCTCCAAAAGCAGCAATACTGACCCAGTTCCCTGTTTCTGGGTTAACAATGAAAACTTCACTGGAAAACACACACATGCATCTAGTAGCTGTTTTACAATAACTGAATAAGTCAACATGTGTACATTACCACGTGAGGCCTATAAACGACTCCTCGACATTTTCAGCATGAGTGCTCAAATTGATCCTTATAACTGCGGCCAGTTGTTTATGAGCCTGACCCACCGTAAAACTATAATGATGGTGACATTATAGTGGCTAAATGATCTCTGTAAATATGGAGCAGCGGTGCGGCAGGTGTCTAGAAAGCATACGGTCGCAGCATGCCCCGTACCACCACTACGATTACTACCTCGTAGAGTAAAATGATGAAATCCCACCGCTGGACTTTCTCCTTCAGTGTAGACTGCTGCTGTCGAGGTGGACCAGCCAATCTGCCTTCACACTGTAGCAATAATAACTTTCCTATAATGCCACGCTCAGGCACCTCAATAAATAAGCAATTTATTCTCCTAACTGCAAACCCTCAGCGTGGAACTCCATTAGACCTGAAGCAGGCACGGACATGAAGGAGTGCAGAGCTGAGTCAGCTCAGGGCTCAACCCAGCAGCGGCTCTGTCAGTTATTTCATCTTAAATCCACCAACATGTCTGACCTGTGGCATCTGTCTTGTAACGTTACATCACTATTTTTGTCTCTCTTTAACACACAAGAGGTTAGAAAATATGATCTTATAAGCATCATAATGATTCCAATGCAGTACAGACGGGTGACAAATTAAAGAAAAAACCTTGACCTCTGAATGGATCCAGTGGCTCTATTGTTCTGTGGGGGGCGTTTTTCTGGAATGGTTTGGGTTCACCAGTCCCCTAGAGGAAAGAGTAACTGCAAATCAATACAAATTTGTTGAGTGATCCCCCTATGATGAAACATTTTATCCTGATGGGAGTGGTCTCTTTCAGGATGTCTGTGCTCCCATCCATAGGGCATGAGGGGTCACTGAGTGGTTTGATGAAAATGAAAAGGATGTGAATCATATGACATGACCTTTCACAGTCACCAAATCTCCACCCAAATGAACATCTGTGGGAGATGTTGGGCCAACGCGTTAGACAGCTCCCTCCATCAACACCATCAAAACACCAAATGAGGGAACATCTTACGGAAGAATGGTGCTCATTTCTCCAGTAAAATCGATACACTGAAGCTGTTTTCACCTTACAAAGAGGTTTTTCCTTTATTTTGCCACTGTCCATGACAACCCTCAATCCTGCCTAAAAACCAAACACTGCAAGACGCTACCAAACCAGTCAGTCATGCTGAGATGAGTCACAGTCTTCCCCACACTGCAATGCATGTTATTTTGCTTCATCTCTACAAGGTCAAAATGAGGGGAGATGACCTCGCTCTCGTGCTCATACCTCCTATGTTGGCTAGACGAGGGGGAGTTCGCTGCAGGAGAGGACTAGAATTTACCTGTCTGGCCTGCCACTTGTCACATACAGTAAATACCAATCGCCCACGGTGCATCATAAACTGGGAAGCGAGAGCAGCACCGTCTTTCCGGGGGAGGCGAGAGGAGCGAGTCTCAAAATACCGCGACACAACATTGGCAGAAATCCGGCAAAACAAATGACCCACCATTCATCTTCCAAGCACAAACCTGCTCGCATATGGTGTCATATAAATCCTGGCAGTCGCGTCCTGCCTACCTTTGTCTTTGTCTATTCTCACCATCTCCCTCTCTTCTTCCCTTGTGGTTATCCGAGCTCCCACGCTGAGCAAACCTTTCCAAGAGAAAGCGAGATCCATGAATAATAACTATCATTAATCAACTGCGGTTGCATGAATGCATAATCTGAGACTAGACTGAGAGCATGTAAGAAGACTTCAGTGTTTGCATTATATCATTTTTTTTGCATGTTATTCAGCGATATTAGGATGAACGTAACAAAAGCACATCTGAAACGCAACACTGTTCAGATTTTTTACTCCAAGAATGGAAGACAGGTGTTGGATATGTTGTCTAGACTATGAAAAACCAGCATTATACCAAATATAAAGCGCTATATGTGTGCTTAACATTGCTAAAAATGCCCTAAATGACGTCCACAATATAAGTGCTGTTAATCGGTCACAACTTCTTGTAACAGCGATCATGCTATTCTGTCACAACGGCCTCTAGTAATTCACTATTCAACACAACATGAGCAATTACTGCAATATTCACTGGGCATAAATTCCATCTGATTCAATGGGCTGGAAGAATGTCTGAGGCAAGCCAATGGAAGATCACCTCTTCACGCTGGTTTACACGTTTCCTCTCCATCCAGCTTTCAAATCAAATCGACGCTCGACTCAGTCAGCCTTGGCGTATTACTCATGCGCTCATACAAAACAAGGCCGCTCGCTACCACAATGAACCGCCGGTGACAGCAGAAAGTCATTTCTCCACAAAATGTGGGCTCCTTTTTTACATCAGCTCATCCAGAAAACACACATTGTTAAAAAAAAAAAAAAAGAAAAAAAGGGGGGATGAAGGAGATGAAGTCATCATGCCAAAAAAGACCAAAACCAGGCCGATGAATTGATGTTTACTGGGTCGCTCAAGTTCCAATACTGCTGATATTGAGCAGCAGCTAAAAGATCATATATTTAAGTTATGTCACACCAAAGGAAAAGTGATGGATGAGGAGCTGTGCTGGCCCGAAATACAGCAATTACAGATGAAAACTCACACTTGACAGTTGTTGTGTCTATCAATACTTGTGTCAGTGTTTCAGTCTGTCAATAAAGGAACACCATATCCATTTGTTCAACTTTCTCTTGCTGTCCAAGACAGTATATGTGGAGTATATGTGAGCACATGTTCTCTTCTTGTCTACATCGACATCTGTTCAAAAACCTTTCATTAGGCTGCAACTTATTAAACTAATAGTCAAAAACGGCTGCTGATCTGCCTTTGTCTTCCTTCATTTTCTTACTTTTAATTTGTATGTGCAACTACGCATTTAGACGTATGCAGATCCGACCACTACATGAGACAAAACACCCCACTGACAGCCATGGTCCAATGTTTTCGAAACGTGATATAACAATGAATAATGAATGATTTCATTTGGTGTATTCTCAGCTCCATATCCACATCTCAAAACAGTCACAGGAGGGTGTTTTGTGGAACTCTCCGCCGTCTGTAAACGATGTTCTACCTTTGAAATTATCGATGCCCGCAGACGTGAACACAAGCAGATGTCAGAGGCTCCTAACACCCCCACTGTAAACAAGCAAACAATCCCAAGTTCATTATCGACTCTGCGCATACCTCTGATACCAGGAGAGAGGATTACCCATAATCCTTTGCCTTTTCTGCCCTGCTGCTTTTTTTTCTTTTCTTTTTGCCTTGAGGCACTACCCTCTGGTGGCACAAATCCCCCGCAAAAAAAAAAAAAAAAAAAAAGCATCCTCCCGTACTCTTTCACCCCAAAATCACCTCCAAGTGTGCAGACGACCCCATCATTTTCATCTGTCCTTTCCCCTTGGCTATATTTAGCTTTAGAGTATGTCAAGGGGCAAATCTGAGGGGCTGGCAGGGAAAAAAAAAAAAAAAAAAAGGATGACATTCCCCCTTTCAAAAAATATGTCTTGTCAACTTCAGGGCAACTATGAAGAAACATAGCGTCCTTGCCTTCCACTGCACTATACTGTATATCCTTGCAAACTTTGTCAAACCTGCCTTTAGTGCTGTGCACCCAGAGATGCTTATAGATATTTACAACAGCAAACACATACAAATAAATAAAAACTCAAGAAAAAGAGGACTTTAAAATTATGCATGCCGGCTTTTTCTGCTTGTACGGTGGCCAGAAAGCCTTCTATTTACAATGTGCACTGAGACAGCCGAATGAGGTTAGTGTGAACAATATCATCAAGCAGCATTTCACACACCACTACTGCTAAAGAAGGAGGCAGAGAGAAGAGAGGAGTGGAGCAGAGGCTACTAAACTAACACTAGCGGTGGTAGTAGTAGTAGTAGTAGTAGTAGTGGCTAGTGATGGTAGTACTGTTACTCCAGTGGAGAAAGTAGGAGGGGGATTTTACAAGATGTACATGTCATCCCTGCTCCTTATAAAGGAGGGGGGGGGGGAGGCAAATGAGGACTCCTTCTCTTTTCTCCTCTGCGTTGTACTGGCCTCACTGTAGTGGTGTAGAAGCTGTGGTGAGAGGAGGGGGCCGGGATGCATCCCACCCCCCCTCAGGGATAGCCATCATCCTCCAGACTGAGTGCCACGCGCTGCAAACAGCAGATAAAAAGACGGTTACCACAGCAGGCTGGTGAAGGAGACAGAAGTGAGATAGAACAGAGTACGGAAACAGAGCAGGACAGCGGAGGAAAGGAGATAGAATCAAGTCTAGGTGGAACCCGAAATAAAAACTGCAGCTTCACATGTTTAAACTCCTCTCCTGCTTTCCCTGACCTTCCTCTTCTCCTGTCTCGAATTCCCCTCCCCACTTGTTCGTCCCCTCCTTCTCTGGCTGTTCCTAGGCGAGGAATTCAGGTTGCTTGCCTACGGCTGCAAATGTCTGGCCCACATAATGCCAGCCTGATTTCTCTGGCTGCCTGGAGTTGCCACGCTGCTACAAAAGCATAGAAAAGTTAGGAGAGGAGAAGAAAGAAGAGGAGGAAAACAAGTAAAAACGATACAAGACAATGAGAGCAATTTGTACGGATGTAAATAATAAAAATGGTGAGACGAGAGTGCGGTCCCCTCTCTCCAGCCCTTCGCTGAGGGCGGCTGCTACTTCGACCTTGAATCTTAATATGACTCAGCCGTGCACCTGTTCCGTGTGTGTGTGTGTGTGTGCGCGCTTCTAGCCTGTCATTGTGCCAGTGATACCCAGAATTCTTTGCCTTCTTTCTCTCCGGAGCAACACAAAGAAATCTGTGTTACCATGCCAACCGATCAAAGCGCTAGACTCCCCTCCTCTTCCCCACCCACCCCTCGCTCCGTAATCCTTTTTGGCTGCCCTTCCCCGCTCGCTCTCCGACACCCAAAACAACAAATATATTCAATAAATGTCATAAGTGTCTGGATGATGCACTCTCTCTAGATTTAAGTGCATTTCACTGCGAGTTACAGCTGGTATTGATTTACGGCATTCGTAGAGAACGCGGCTTTAAGCGATCCTCCAAACTGCGTCTGAGTCAGTGTGAAATCAACAGGGTCGTCTGCAAGTCATGACGTGGAGATTCACGGTTTCTGCACCTGCACTCGAGATGGAAAACGAGATAAACTCGATTTTGGACTGTCCTTCGTCCTGATTTGTGCTCCCTTTTTTATCTCTTGTCTATTATTTATAATACAATAAAAAAAAACACTAGTGCAATGACGGGATGTAACTAGCAACTTAGAAACTTATTTCATTTGTAGAACAGTCTGCCTCTGTGCTTTGTTGTCCTTTTAGTCAGCTTTCAAAGTAAATCCTCTTTCTTCTCAAAAGAATCACAACACTTAAATCATTTTTGCATCAACACAGCAGTAATTATTCAAGACTTGCTGCCCCTGGTTTGGATAATATCTGGACAACCCTTTCTTATCAGTTTTCCGCAAACAAAAGTAATAAACATCACAAGATTCCTCTGTGACAGGTACGCTACCTCGTGGCACACACTTCCTGTTATCTACTGGAGACATCACGATGAAAAAAATGAACTTTCGCATCTGCTGCTTCTGTAAACAACACAAACCTTACGTGGGGAGTTTTGTCAGGAAACGGGTACAAACACGTCAACGACCAGAAACACTCACACAATGTACAATTTAATGGGATGGCAGGTCGGCAGCAGGGATGTGGTGTTGATCGATGTATGTGCTGTGTGAATATGGTCGGTGAAGGTGAGTGAAATGTGAACATGGTGGTGGAGGGCTTAGATGTGTGTCTGATTGGTGTTTTTACTGCAAAAATGATACGTGAACATGTGGACGTGTGCAAGCCTGTTCTTTCTTTCCACCAGGCCGACATGTACAACAAACGGGCTTTTCCAAACCCTTGCGCATCCTCCCATTTCCCAAATAAAACTCCTTTCTTTCCTCTCGCGGCTTCCCTCATTTGCCGCTGGAGAGCATCGGCGCCCCTGAGTACCAGTGAGAGTTGCTGTCTGTGATGCCGCCCCCTAGAGGAAGCGCTATGAAGGGCTGACTGTGGCTGCCACTCACAGCGGGGTAGACGTGACCGATGGACTCGCTGTGGCGGCCGATGTGGATCTCGTCGTCGTCGTCCTCCGTGGTTTTGCGATACACCGGGTTGTCGAAGTTCATGCTCTTGGTGTTCTTGCGTCGCCAGTTGCGCCAAACCAGATATCCGCCGGTGCAGAGTAATCCAATGACCACTGTGGCAAGGATAGGGACTGCATGTGTTTAACACACACACAACAACAACACACGGCGGGAGCGTTAACACAGCCCAGGGGACACAGAGCGGCGCTTTAAGCACTCACGCACACAAGCACACCTTGCACAGTTTCATCAAGTGAAGGCTCATTATTTTCTCTTTCATTATCAAAGTGACACCTCTAAGAGTTTTTTGGTGGACAAGAAATCAAGAGAAGAAGCGATAGTACTTAAAACCAAATAAATACAGGAATTTATCTTTGTATTTATTTTTTAAAGTGTTAAAATTTGTATTATAAAATATGTTTTTAATAAGAATTTGACTAAAAAGACATAATTTACAGAAGGCGTACTTTATAACTATACTTTTGATTTACATACCTGGACACAATTCACTGTAAATACATGTTGGTGATCAACAAATGAGAATTAGAGTCAGTTCTGACTTTAACATGTTAAAATTATTTTTTTCTTTTTTAATGCTGAGATTTAAATTTGGGAGATTTTTGACTTTAAACTCAGAAATCTGATTTTAAACTCTGGAATTTTGAGGAAAAAAAGTCAAAATTTTGATTCTTTTTTTTTTTTTTTAAATTAAAGCTGCAAGCCAGATTGGAGCATGTACAGGGTCGTTAGACACGCTTCCTTTTTGATGGCGAATCATCACAGTTCAGAAGGCCACCATTGCCACGCTCTCAGACTTTTGCGGAGCGTTTTGATCACTTTTGATCACCAAGCCCTGTTCTATGCGCTGGCCGAATTTGAGGTGTGTAGGAGTTAACCCCTAGGAGGAGATAGATTTTGAAAATGGCAAAAAATCACAAAAAATTGCACACTTGTTTCAAAATGGCAGACTTCCTGTTGAGTTTACGGTATGGGTTCAAGAGGCTTTATTGTGCGTCCTTATGTGTTACATATGCTTAACAAATTTTGTAAACATTGGCTAAATGTCCTGCGGGGGCTAATCGATAAATCGATTGGAGCATGTACTGTGTAGTTACACGGTACTTCCTCTTTCATGGCGAACATCAGAGGGCCGCCGTGGCCACACCCTTTGACCTTTGCAGATGATTTTGATAACATTTTACCTTCAAGGCGTATTCTACATGCTACCCACGTTTCAGCGCTCTGTGACTTACCCCCGAGGAGGAGTTTGCTCAGATTGGACAAATAATCAATCCAAAATGGCGGACTTCCTCTTGGGTTTAGGGTATGGCTGTCACTGACTTTTTTGTTCGTCCTGACCTCCTCCATATACCTACCAAATTGTGTAGGTCTGGGTCAGACATGCTTCCGATGGGACTCTGAAATTTTCTAGGTGGAGCTGTGGAGCCATTTTTCTATTGAGGTGTGTATTTCCCCCTATTTATAAAATTTTTCACCAGGTCTGATGCGTGTGCCAAATTTTGTGAGTTTTCGAGTACGTTTAGGACCTGAAAAACACGTTTATTTGTGACTAAGAAATAATGACGTAGCAGTTCCAATAGGGTCCTATGCACTGTAGTGAACTCATGCATATTTTTCACAGTCACCTAATCCTCTTCTGTTGTAATCAGTATCTTCCTGCAACAGAAAGCATTAAAATTTTGGATGCTTAAGAACATAAGATCCACAATCAGTATGTGTTATGGCCCCTGCAGTAGTTTGCATCACCCCGGCTGAAACAAAGACAACTTTAGCTAACATTTTGAAGCGTTCATTCACTTTTAAAACATCAAGCTTCAGGTACAAAGTGAAGAGGTGGCGTTTTGGTGTTGTAGCAAATTCCAAATCCTGTATGCACTGTACAGCTGATACGCAAAAAAAAAAAAAAAAAAATCATAATTTTTTGTTGTAAAAATCTACAAAAGCTAAAAACAATGAGCCTTCATTTGGTGTATAAGCACTTACTCCGTCACATTCCCTCTCAGTCTCAGAGAATGATCAAAACACATGTAAACATGCACAATGTGCAACAATGAATGCCTGCATTCACCATCATACACATGCTGTAAACCCCATTTCCTAGACATACACACTCACACAAATACATGCAAATACAAAGACTGAACTACACAGATTTTTTTTATTTTTATTTTTTATATTAAATCTTGTAGCATTCAGGCCCTGAAGCCACTGATTAAGCTCTTGTTTTTGAATAAAAGCCCAGCAAGGTTGCTCAACTGTCATCAGAGCATTATCCTGGTACTCCATTTGGACTATGATTTATAATTTTGCACTTGCCTAGGCTGAGAAATTAAACGCTATCTGCAGACGGCCTGAGTCTGGTGTTTTTTGGATGGGGTTATGAGAGGAGAATGGAGAGGGGAAGAGGCGGAGAGAAGGCGGAGAGAAGAAGGAGAGAGAGAGAGAGAGAGAGAGAGGGAGAGGGGGGTTTGGAGGATTTGAGATAAGCGCTGTCTCTCTCCTCTCATTACCATATCAGCACGGCTGCCTAACTGCCCTGTAGGACCTGCGTGTCTGCAGTGCATGTATGAGAGTGTATATGTATGTAGAGTGAGGGAGCACAAGCCGAACCCGAGGTGAGTCAAGGAGGAGAGATAAAACAAGTGTGGGTGTGATTATGTGCGCCTGCATCCACAGATGTGTTTCCATCCCCTACGGAAGCCCCATCTAATTGTGCTTTTGTTGGATAGACGCTTGAGAGCCCTGTGTGGCTGGGCTGGAAACCCCAGATCCTCCTTTCTTCTTCTCTAAATGCTCACTGGTTTAAAAAAAAAACAAAACATCAGCTTTTGTCTCATTTAGAAATTTTCATTCCAATTAGAGAGCAGCATAACAGCCTGACTTTGGCTAAATACTGATAATCATTGTTGGGCTGCTTCCCCTCGTGGAGCTGCGGGTGGGCGTGGTGCCGCGCTGGATGCGAGCGGAGAACCGGGGTGCACAAATCCGGCCCTTGTGGACCTCCGACAATAATTAAAGTTTCAAAGCTGCCAAAAAAATGCAGAATGAGGGGATTTGTGGCTGCAATGAATGGCAGAAGAACAGAATGAAGGATGAAGTGGGAAGGGTTAACAGTCTTGGGGGTTGTTTTAATGAGCTGATAGCTCAACTGTTGAGAATGAAAAGAGGAAAAAAAAAATTGCCTTACAATGTTTTAGCGCTCCCATATATTATCAAACTACTCCATATTAGGGATGAAAGAGATCTCAATTAGCGGCATATGCTGCCACTATAAGGTCATTTGCACATTCAGCTGATTTTTCAGTTAAGTTAAGCATGAAAGTCTTAAATATTTCCATAAAATTAGATTTTCATTTTAATCTGAACTAATAGAAAAGATTAACTTTACTAAGCGGACTTGATTGTAAGAAGTTGAATTCTCTTTGTGTGCCTGTATTAGTATGTATGGAAGCAAAGAGGCCTCGTAGTGATTTTATTTTTTATTTTTTTACCCTAAATAGACAATGATGTTATTTCCTAGGTCATAAATTGGATGCCTCTAGGTCAAAAACACAATTTTATCTTATTAATCCCTTTTTGAGTCCTTTCATATTTCCTCCTCTTTAAAAAAAAAAAAAAAAAAAAGATTCCAGAAACTGCTTAACCCATTCTCAGTACAGTTGGTCACAGAAATAGGTCAGAGCTGTGAATTGATTGCAGTGTGAGCATACTATATAATCACAGTGGGAACATGAGCTTAATGTTATAACAGCTGGTCAAGTGTGATGACAAAACACAAACTGAATTTCCCATTTGCTCGAATCTCATTAATAATGACATAATGTGCACATTACAAAGGCCTGGCCATTCTCTGACTGACGAGCTTACTTCCATATAATGGCTTTTTGTAGCCGCGGGCTACGAGGCTATTGTTGTATAATATCACAGCTCAGTACATTTTCTCAATTGCTAAAATATTATTTTGCGCTCTGACCTCACTGCTGAGCCTGATGCAGGCCTTACATGTTGAAAATACACAAATTGTTATTATTAAATTGAGTACATTTTAGACTTAATCAGCCAGGTGGGAGTACAAACGCTCTAAAAACCAGGCAGCACACACACGTGCTAATACATAACCACACTCATACGGCCACACACAGCGTGCAGGACTGAAGCAACAAGCAGAGATGGAGAGGCAAGGAGGGAGAAGCAGGCAGGCAGAAAGCAAAGACAACACAGCGAGGAAGTCCAGAGTACTCACCGATAGGAATGACTATCCCCAGAACAGCTACTGTGATGTTGTTACCTATGAGGTAGTGATCACTGGCGGCTGAGATGAACAGACAGACAGGGAGAAACAGAAAAGAATCAAACTAAGCCAAAAGTTTTGTCACTCCCCCATATAAAATAAGAAAAGTAGTTTTGCTGCAACAGAGGAGCATCAAGATGGAAAAGCATATTTGCATAATGTAACAGCAGAGAATCCATCTGATTCCAGTTGGGACTGTAGACTTTTTTTTCAACAGCATGTGTAAATGAAATGCGGATGAATCATAGCAGGATGCCATAAAAAAGCAATGAGATGCGTTTTAATACATGCAGAGACAAATGCAATTCCAGAAAGTAATGCATCAGAATTTCTGCTCCCATCAGTCAAAACAAAATTTGGATTTAGGACGCAATAAACAATTCACACCAGGTCTGAGACACGTTGGAAGACATCCACATGACCTTGAGCATGAACACATGGTCTTCTTTTTCTTTTTTTTTTAATCATGTGTCACAATACAATGCAACACAGTGTGCATTTATTCCAGACATGTTTTGTAACCTTGCTCCCCTTCAACTCTCACCCCAACAGGTCCGTGTGCAGCTTCGACATTAATCCTGCTCCCGACTCTCCTATTAGCAGCAGGCTAGCCATTAGCCAAACTGTGATCAGATGGCTATAATGAAGTCTAGTAAGGAAGATTAACAGAAGAGATCAAGCCACTGGGCCTGCATACTGATTGGCTCTGTCTAGAAAGAGACAGTGTTGCTCTTTGCATGGTAAAGGAGGCGCAGATGGCACGTGATGGATGGGACATACAATTAAGGCGGTCATTATTTCTCATAGATGCAGTCATATAGAACGCAAAATACCGATAAATGCACACATCATGGATAAAGTAAAACAAGCCACCACATGCACACGTTTGTACGGCTGTCTTTGTGAGGATCCTGCTTAACATAATGCATTCTCTAACCACTTAGCCCAACCTTATCTATCACATGTAAGTGCCTACCCCCAACTCTTCCTCCTCCCTAAATGTAACCCTGAATCTTCAAGCGGGTGTGAAAAAGTGAGAATCGGCCAAAGTCCTCTCTCTGATGGTGTAAAACTCAAACTGGTCCTCACAAAGACAGACAGTAAAGCACGCACACACTCATGCATACAGTGTCGACAATGCCGTAGAGAAAGAGACACAAGAAGGTGACGTGACTTCAGACTGAGCAGCGAAGCCGGTGAGCCTTGAGTCAGCAGAAGTGAATGTGGCTTTTCTTAAAGTATGAGTGACGTCCAATGGGCACTAAGACTCGAAAAGGCGGATTATTAGAATCTTATTAAAGGAGCTGTTATGAAAGAAGTAGTCCTGGAGAGCCAAGGGAGAGAGAGAGGAAGTGAGAAAGAGGAAGGAAAAAAAAAAGAGAGACAAAAGTCTCAATTTCATTACGACCATTACTGCCGGAGGGATTTTAATTTCAAAAAAGAATTTTCTGCCTCTAGAAGAAAACATTCCTATTTATTTCTCTATATTTGGCTTTGAATATGACGGAAACTGGAATTTTGTATGTTAGTTGTTAAAGTATACATAGTAAACAATAAAGTGTACAAGCACTAGGAGGGCAACAAACCTTGTAATCACTCCTCCTGCTTATTCTGGACATTAAAACATCCCTTTTGTGCCTCTAGTGTAAGTTTTGGGAAGCAAAATTCTCAGTCCAAGATCTCTGTATGTCTGTCTGAAGCTTCAATGAGCATGAACATGTTAGTCTTCTTCTTTATAATTGCAAAAGAGAAGCCTTTTGAAATGTTGCAAATTAGGTTTGTTTCCATTCACTGCTTTGGAACAAATAAACAAGGCAGCGTAGCATCAAGTCAGAAGATGTTGGTTTAAACTATGTATAAAAAACTAACAAAACTTTAGCCTCCAGAGTTTTAATCACCCACAATGTGTAGTAACTCTTCTCCCAAAAAAAAAAAACTACCTGAAGTGAGCGTAAAAAACTTCTTGCAAATGTTGTGGGTTCTATTAACTTCCTCTAATGCACTTCTTGCAAAGAACAAGGAATATGGAGTTTGGATTATACGGCAGGCACATTAGGAAGAGAGCTGTTTAAGGCAGGAATGAGCACAACAAGGAAAACCTGACTATTCCTTTAAGACAGATTTGAAAAATGATGATCCTATCCTTTAAGACAGCGTTTTCTAGCCTCGTCGAATGTTGCTGAAAGCCTGATGAATAATTGCTGATATCAAGAGAAAAGGTTTAAATTTATAAGAGGGGACTGTAGATGCATATGAACTTTGGGAACCAGCTGTTGTTTATCTTTCATCTCTCCCCCCCTCCTCCTCTCAAACTCCTGGTTCTCTCCCCGGCTCCACCATGGCAGCCCCAGTGCCGAACATGTTTAACAGCTGATGCCGGCAAACTTGACAGTGTGCACTGAGTTGAAAATGATAACACATGGCCCGTGGGTTTGGAGACACGTCTTGTTCCTGCCCCATTTTCTCATCCGTGTCTGCTCCACCTCTCATCTGGAGCAGTCGTTGGTGTGGTGAGGCGGCTGACAACTTCAGAGACCGGAGGAAACACGTTCTTGCTTCTTAGTAACTCTGAAGAAACCCAGGCCCCCCAAAGTGATGCAGCAGGCATTCTCTTTAATTCCCAGAAAATCACATTCTCTCCTGCCTCTCTTCCATCCTGTCGTTTCTTATCCTCGTAAATGCTGGTTTTCCTCTCCACTTATTTTGCAGCTCCCCCCCCTCCCTGTTCAAAAGCCGGACTGTCATGTTCTCCTCTGCTCTTTGTTCACTCGTCTTTCTCTGTTGCCTCTTTATTGTCGCTCACTGTACCTTTTCATTTAACAGTTTTTACTTTTACTCCTCGCTCATTTCCCCGTCCTCCCTTTGTCTCCAAATTCCTCCTCCTCCTCCAGCTCCCACAACCGCTTACAACTTCCATCGTCTTTCGCTACTTCACTCCCTTCGTGTAGCTTTTTTCTTTTACTCTCCTGGTTTCTCAATGAAATGTCTCTGATGCAAAGGCATTACTGTAAAATGATGTGTTTGAGAGTTCAAACACAGTACAGCAGCTCGCTGACTGCCTCACATGCCATGCAGTCTTTCGTTTTTACTTCCTTCTACTTTTCTATTCCATCTTTTATTCTCCGCTCAGCAGTGGCCTACATCATTCAAATAAATAATTCACACAAATTACTTGAATATGTGTTAAGTGTGTAAGTAACTGTCATGTTTTTTTTGTTAGTATTACACTGTTAGTCTTTCCTTCGTGCCGAAAAGGGTTTTAACAGTGCCTGCGTTCATTTTAATACATCTTCTCTCTATAAATAACACTGCAAATAACATTTTAAGAGCCTGAAAGGGAAACTTATTTGAATTAGTTTTTATCTTTCTACTGTTGTACGGAACAAAAGACATGAGGACAAGGTGCTGCTTTGGCAGTTTGACAGATACAACCATCCTGGGTTAAAGTCTCAATGTAGCAAAGGCTCAAGGAAAGCTGAAAACACTGATTTCTGCTACAAAAAAAAATAAAAAATCCCACATCATGTGGTGTGCAGCACGGCGGTTTATCAATTTTGTTTTGTGGTTGCTGTCAAGGATTCTTGTCCGCTTTCCCCAAATACAATTTAAGTCTTAGCGTGGCTTTGTAAACCATTGTTACTGCTGTTATATTCTGCTGTCATGGCTTGTCTGGGCTGTAAAGTGGTATTTTTCTTGCACGCCAGTTAAGCTTGATTGGTGTAAGAATGAAGAATGCTGCCAGTTTTAGAGAGTGAAAGAGAGAAGGAGGAGATAGAAGCAGCAGGATGGAGAGAGGGAGAGACGCTGTCAGAAAGTGAGGATGACTGAGAGGTGGAAGGAGAGAGTGGAGGGGACTGTCGTTTGTTAGCTCTGACACCTCCGCTGGACTCCGGCCGTGAGGGACCAACAGCAGACTGAGATGCACTACTGAGTGTGTGTGTGGGTGAGAAGAGGAGAGGGAGAGGTTGTACACTAAATAGATGATCAGACAAAGACAGGAGGTGAATAAAAGTCAGAGAAAGAAGGGAAACTGATGTAAGTAGTGTTTCTCGGCTCCCTGCTGCTTTAATGGCAGGTGACGGCAGCGGAGCGTTACACACACTTCACACACATTCCTATGCACGAACCTGCTCACAGCAATCCTTACCTCTGTGGGAGAGGTTGGCATTGCTCTCTCTCTGGATGCTGTTGGGAGCCACCGGGCCCAGCAGGGGAGTGTGCGTGGACGTGGACGTCTGGCCGGTGCTGCTGAAGCTGGTGGTCTCTGTGCTGGTGGCGGCGGGGGTCCGAGGGTGCTCTGTGCTTCTGCCGCTTCTGGTGGTCTGGGGAGGCGTCGGCGTCGTGAGGCGCCTGGTCGCGGGCCTCTGCGTGGTGGCGGTGGAGGTGGTGGCGCTGGTGGTGGTAGGAGGGGTCGTGGTGGTGGCCACGGTGGTGCTCCTCGTGGTGCTTGCCGTGGTGGTGGTGGTGGGAGCTGTGGTGGTGGTAGTGGTAGTGGTGGTGGTGGTGGTGGTGGTCGGGGCGGCTGTGGTGGTTGTTCTGGGTCGAACTGTGCAAGAGATAAAAGTACGTTAGTACTTGGGATTTTAATTCAAGTTGCTTACATGTGAAGAAGTTTGAAGCATGAGAAGATTTACATGTAATATTTGTGCGTATCCATATACAACTTGTACCCAAACTGAAACGTGATTGGAACATCTTCTAGACTCCCCAGAGTTTTAAACAGAATTTTAAACACAGCTGAAACTAGAAGGGCCCTCGGAGAGCACAGTCCTTCGGAAAGGCCAATGCCCTATCTTGCAATTTTAACGAAAGTGGATCTGCAAGGAAAATGTAATGGAGACTTCATGTGACCGTGTCCCACTTCTGCACCAAGTATCATGAACATCAGCCTGGTCGTTTTTGTGTAATCTTGGAGACAGACAGACTGATGAACGGAAACTGACATACCGTAATTTCCAGGCTACAAGCTGCTACTTTTTTCACACGCTTTGAAACACTGTGGCTTAAACAATGATGCGGCTAATTTATGGATTCTTAGGATTTTTACGAATTTGCCTCGAGACATAAGTGACATTGAGAGCGACAACGAAAGAGAGACTGAGGAAGTGTGTGACAAAGTCATTCTGAGGCTGTTCAATTCCAACACTGAAGAAGACGACTTTCGTCGTTTTAGTGCGCAGGAAGAAGATGAAGATATCGATCAATGACTTTTCCTGGTAGGCTATTGTATTTTTTATTTTTGTAACCTGCTGTGTTACAGGCACTGTTCTGAAAAAAAGCATTTATGGTACATATTTGTGTAAGTTATCGGTACATATTAAATTAAAAGTTACAAAAAAAAACTTTCTGTGTAAATATCTCATGTTACAATGTGGACACCTGCAGCTTATTGACAAGTGTGGCCTATATATGCGTAAAAAAAAAAAAATCTGTTTAAGGTTAATGGGTGCGGTTTATATTCAGGTGTGCTCAATAGTCCGAAAATTACGGTAATTAATACTTCTGTTCTCAGTTTACAGTAAATCATATGTGTTCTGATGCTTTTAAGTATTATTCTGCTTGGAATCATTAACTGGGACAGAAATTTAAGAAGAATGCCTTTATCTTATGTTAAGTTTCTATCACCCACCTCTGTGTGTTAACACTGCTTTTATCAAATGCACCACTGACCACCTTCCTGTTTGTGTAAAAACTGAATATAACAGCAGATTTGTTTGAGGGTCACAACATATGTTTCTTCAAGGTTTTTCAGCTGCTGCAAAAACTGACAGTTTTTTCCAAAATAGAAATAAAGTGCTGAGCAATAACGCCAAGCAGACGTTATTTATCATACTGAGCAAAATGCTCAGCAGAAATGTGTGTGTATTACATTAGGAAGTCCACAAGTTGGAGTGCCAATGTTCTCTCCCTCTCTGTGGATGTGTTTGTGCCTTCGGTGCCCATGCTCCCTCTCCTGTCCTCCCTCAGAGGGATTCTCTGAATGGTGGCCTACATACATCATCATCAGCTTTTTCTCCCCTCTCTCAGCATCAGCTGCTTTTGCCTCACCTGTATAAACATGAGGTGTAAAAAAAAAAAAAAAAGAGTGGGTCTATTAAGGATAACAACTTAACAAATGTAGTGACTCCGGAGAGGTTTGGGACAAGCTGAGCGGTGAAATAAGGACGGTAAAGTAATGGCGGTGTGTTGGGAGCACAGGCAGAATCCTTGACCCACTTCCTAAGACAGCGCTACGGTAAACACAGGTTTCAAACTCTCTGAAGGAGTTAGCTTTTGAATCCATCACAACCAACATAATTAGATGTGTGATAATTTACTATGCTTAGAGCCGACACTGGCCATTTCTGGATTTAGATAAAAGCTGCAATATTCAAGAGGTATTTTGTAATGATTTCAGACAATTATGAATGGGTATGCATATAAAAGCTGTATTGCGCAGAAGAGCATCATTTTCCCTCTAGCTAGAATATGTTGTCAGAATCATGTGCTTTTATACTTTAACACATTTAGCACTTTTTTTTGCATATATTTTACAATTTACAATTTTAAAGACGGCAAATAAAGATTCTTTTCACTGTAGATTAATCAATTAGTTGTTAGAAATCGGTGTAAAATGTACATCATTGTTTCCCAAAGCTCAAGATGACATCCTCAGATTTCTTGTTTTGTCCACAGCTCCATTATATTCAGTTTAAAGTCATAGAGGAGTAAAGAAATATGAGTTTAAGAAGCTGGAATGGGAGAGTTCGGACGTTTTCTTTTAAAAAAAATACTCCAACAGATGAACTAATTATTTAATTTGTTGGTAAAAAAAAAAAAAGCAAATCGTTGACAACTAAGCGATTAGTTGTTGCAGATCTAGAGATCAGCTACAACTCTAGCACTGAAACCTATAAAGAAATGCATGTCTTTGGAGAAGATGTAGTTACAGAAGAATCTACATTATAGCTGATGTGACAAAACCAAAAAGCCTAGATTTACTTTGTTTCAGCCTTTAATGGCATTGGATGTATTTCCCTTAACCATTAATGTATAAGATTGGAAAACTGAACTACGCTGAAGAGCTTAAAGATGAACACTTGTGTATAGAAATGCATGAATACGTCATTATGAGGTAGACTCCAAACCAGTTTAATATCCTCATGGTCTGGCACTCCATCTGCGATTACAGCAGTTTGGTATCTCGTGCGGTGTTCGTCAGCACAATTCTTGTAATTATGCGTGTCTCTGGACTGTGTGACTTATTGGTTTGGTTCGGAGCGTGGCTTACTCACCTATAGCACAGCGCCTCATGTCCGGGCCGAGCTCCATGCCGTCAGGACAGGCGCAGGTGTATTTGGGGGAGTGGTCTGTGATCTGAGGGGCCTTCAGGCAGAGATACTCGCAGCCACCGTTGGGCAGGCTGCCCATGTTACAGGTGTCGGGGGCTTGAGGGACACAAACAGAAACAAAAGGAGCATTACAAATCTAACACATGATTCATTTGCTTTAAAGATTGCAAAACCTTGTATCTGCATTAAAAAAAACCATAACCATCATTTTTGACATTTCTAAACATTTGGTGGTTTTCCCAAATGTGTGCAGCAAATTGAAGACCCATGTCAGTGCCAGGCTGATGAGCACAGAGGCTGACAGACCATGTACTGTAGACTGGAATAGCTAAGAGGAAAATAATATTAAGAAGTGGACTGAACCCCTGTTTAAGAAACAGCAAGTCAGAGCGAAGGAGCTTGAACATTTTTTAAAGCGAGTATCAAAGTCAGAAATGTAGCTGAAAGTATCTAACCAGCAGAAAGGTTTGCACTTCGGACTACCAATAAACCTTAATGTGTTCAGTGCAGCAAAACAACACAGATGCTAGATTTAGAGAGCTATATTTATTCCATGCCTTACTTTCTCGTGGAATTTAAAGATGCTTAGGTTAAGGCAAGGTGGTCGAAACTCTCGTCTTTTAAACTCTGCACCCAAATAAAAAATGTACATGTGGCATCTTAACCCCTAGATGCAGCCTCGTAGAAAACATTGCTCCACTTGTCATGCGGGGAAGCACCAGAATTAGGTCACGTTGTGGTCGATTCTGCCTCCTGATTTATTATGTAGTTTTAGAGAGCAGCACATTAAAGGAACCCTCGGCTGTCAGGAGAAGAAGCAACATCATTCACTGCACATAGTGAGTTTTTAATAAGCTGGGAATACGCTAATGCTTCATGTACAGTATCGCAGCATAACCAGTGTGTAATAAGAACAGCTGTCTAATTTTAATTCTTCAAAGCTACAGATGTCTTCTATACCTGCTTTGCATATTAAGAAGAAATGGAACTCTTTCTTTTTTTTGGGTTAAATCAAGTCTTGGTATGACATAGTATGACAATACAATTAAAATCCTCTGCTGGGAGAAGAAAGGGGAAGAAGGGTAGAAGAGGAGGAGGAGAAAACAGTGGATAGGAAAGAACAATGAAAAGGGAAAGCAGGGGAGGCAACAGAAAAATACACGAAAAAAAGATGAGAAGGAGGAAGATGAGGATAGAATTTAAAGGAAAAGAAAGCAGAAGATAGGAGAAGCACTGAGATAACAACAAAATGAATCTGTTCTAAAGTTCCTAAAGCTTCACTTTCTCTCTCCTTCTGTACTGCTTCCATTTGGTCTAGAATAAGAACTGAAAGTTGGAGCCTAAGCTTCAAAGCATTGCTGGAAGGACGAAAAAAAAGAAAAAAAAAAGATGGATAAATAGCCCAATGGAAAAGATGTAACTAAGAGAGGATTGGAGAAGAGGCTCTTTTGAGGAAATGTGTCAAAAAAAAAGAATACATGTTGAGTATCACAAGCTGTTAAAGACATTTTGCAAAGTGTGGAGGTGTATTAAAGTAAGCAGTGATTAGAGATGACATTCCCTTTGTGGGATTTTGTTGTTCACACGTTCATTGATGGAATAAAAACAATATGAAAAGCAAAGAGAGGAAATGACAAATTTGTGTAAGAAAGGAAAGAGAGAGCTGGTTGACCTTGGAAATTACGTCACTCAAGGACACATTTGATCAAATAATTCCCTTTTCAGCATCATTGGTATCTTTACAGGGCAGCTGGAGTTCATCCAGTGTGTCTTCATTTAGCCTAGTTGGGCCTGCTTGTTTTATGTCTTGCTTTTGTTGGCATTTTGAAGGAAACATGTTCAGTTCTGTGATATCTTTTTGAACAGAACTCTTGATTTATTAATGAGAGAATGCAATTAGCTCCCTACTGGCACACAGACAAGACTGCTTTGAGCGCTGAGTGGGGAGAGAAAACAAAGCATGAAAACACAGGCTCACACAAACAAATTGCTGGCACACATCGTCAAACACACTGAAGTACGCACACAGAGGCGTAAACTGGCACACACACACATACACACACACCTTGGGAATGCATCCATCCTGGGAAAAATAATAAACACATCATTTGACATGCCCAGCACAACCATCAATCTAATCACACACATCAGGTTATTTGTTTAGTGTTTTAGAGAGTTTTACTAAGTGGATCCTCTGGTCTGAATGCAGATCATTCCAGTCTTTGTTAGCAGGGAGGCTGATGTTGAAGGGATTCTTTTCTAAATATTTTCTTGTTTGGGTGTGCATATAGACTCACCGCTAATTATACTGACCGACACTGAGCAAACTCTAGCACAAGTTTTTTCACATATTCGGTCTGAACACACCTGAGGCCTGAACTACGAAGCAAGTTTAACATACCCAGGATGTGTTTTCGTTTTCTGGCTTCACTAAACCAAACCACACAGAGCTGGTTTGCAACTCGGCAGGTCAACCCAGGTTTTCTGAATCTAGCTATGAGCATGTTCCCGAGAGCTGCACATTTCTCACAAGAAGAACAAACTATAGTTCTAAAGCAATAAAGGTGTGGACAACCCACACCTGAATCAGCTGTGTATTCTATTAAATGTGTTGCAGATGCATTTTCATGGCATGTAAGACAGTATTAGCCTTATTCTTTCAGGTGCAACCCTGGCGGTGTTAAATGATCACTGAAGCGAGTAAAGAGCAAATATAAAAAAAACATCATTCAAACCGGGTAAGTAGGCTTACTGCAGATTTTATGAGGTCAACAAATACGAGGATTTAGTGGTTTGTCAGTGGGGTTATCTGCTTTGGGAGAGACCTATAGTAAAATAAAGTGGCTTTGAAATTTCTTACAGTCAACGGGAAAATAAAATAGTGGAGTGACCTCCATAGAGAATCTATATCTGTCATATCTGTAGTCAGTTGGGAAATAATAAGGGTTAGATCTTTAAAATTCTTGTCCTCTACAGAGATCCTCTCACTGAGCTCCGCAGGATCCTCCATGGATCTATTTTCCAAGACAACTGATTGATCACTATGTAGTGTTTTAATATGTGTTCACCTGTTATCTTGAGCATAACCTGTTCCAGAGCAGGTTCGCTATGCAGCATAAGCTACCTAGTAGCTGGGCAAGAAGTGAATTTTGTTGTAGGTGTAACAAACCCAAAGTTGAACCTGAAGTCACCTTGCTAACCCCAAACTATGTCTTGTAGTGCAGGCCTCAGCTCAAAGTGAAGTCGGTACAGCTCGACAATCAAAGCACGTCACCTGTAGCACCTCATCTGATGCTGTGGCTGCTTCGTCTTTTACTGTTCAGCTCGGGGAAAAACTGAATCATCCAACCTGCTGACTTTCTAGACACTTCCTTTGACTTGCTTTCATCTGTGTGTCTTACCCTTGGGCTGCCTCTGTTCATGAAACACCACCAGGTCCAGAGGGTTGTTGAGGTGCTCCGCTACCTTTGACACTTCATGTCCTGTCAGTCGGTTGGCGCTGTATATCGCTTCATCTTCCAAGTCTGTCCAGTATATGCGATCCTGGATTAAAAGAAAGGACGGAAAGATTAAAAAAACACCTAAGGAAAAGCCTCAGTAATTCATAAATACAAGAATAAACGGTCGAATGTAAAAAAAAACGGAGGATGGATGTGAAATCCAACAGACACCTCAAAAATGTGAGTCACTTGTTGTCATTGCGAACCTGCAGCATTGTTTATATTTGCAAGATTTGGGAAACCACAGCAGCAATCAAGGTTAATGAAAGAGGAATTTTTTGTAGAACATGTGAACTGCAGTTGTAAAAGCGTCTTCTGAAGCGAGCTAGCCCCCCGCCTGTTTTAAACAGAACCATCTGTCAAAGCCTTCTACAGAAATTGTCCCTTTAGTGTTTTATTAAAGAGCATCAGTGTTCAGAATTCAATATGCAGACAAATACGATCCAGTTTTGTTTTTGCTACACTGAATGAAAGTTTCCCTCCCTATATGTACTTGTGTAATTTAAACCCATGTGTCCTGCTCTCCTGCCATCATTTCCCAAGTGAACATTTAATATCAACTGCAATTCATTTATTTATAGTAAATGTCATTTATTAATGTGGTAAACTGTATTTGTTCACGGAAATCCTGCATTGCAAAGATTTTTGATGATAAAAGGGTATTTAAAAAAAACAAACAAAAACAAAACAGTGCAGTTTGTTGCAGAGAAATGTGCTCATCCCAACAAGGGCTGCTTGATTAAATTTACATGCACTTAAGCTTAGTTCTGTTTGTCTTATTACTGCTCGGATGGAAACACCGCCCTGGAGTGTAAAATGGTTACCCTAGTTTAACCCAGTTTACTGTGGTCAAAGTAGAAGTACAACTCTCAAAGTCTGATTACTTTTAGTTGTACTGATTTACAATTTACACAGCAGGAGAAAATCATTTGTAAAGATGTTAATCAGTGGTAAATTTAATTTAAGCATGTAAGAAATGAAGTAAAGCTGGATGATATAACTGAAAAATGTATCACAATAAAATGCTGAATTTTAGTGGATATCAACAATTACTGATCATTTAATCAGCTATGTTTAATAAACCAGGAGAAAAAAGGGATTCTCAGTAGGTGAAGCCACCAAACCACGTTTGAGGTTGAGGTACTGAGTGGCAGGCCAGGACCGGGTGTCTCTGGATGGGGGCTGCCACACAAGATTGTGTTGCTTAGACGTAGTTGGTGGAGGATGTGGGGTTATCTGGATGTGAGCAGGGCCCAGACTATAGGGTGCTTTAGTGGACCTGTCTTGCAAGGGCAACTGCTGGTCACCGGCAGCAGCAGCCTCCACCAGGGGAGGTCTGAACAAACAACACCTACACAGCAGGACGTCAAAAGCAGACCACACCCTGTGGTACTTACTTTCTTCACGCTGTTGTGTCGCATGTCAATACAACACAACACGAAATGGAGTACGCGTGCCACTCAAAGCACACTCCATTATCAGAAAACAGGCTGTTTATGATGCAGGGAGGGAGGACAGTTGGAGTTTGTTCATGCAACAGAATTTTGCATTTTTGTTCTTTTGTGCTTTCACAGCAGTTTCCATCTAACTTTCAATCCAATTATTTAAGTGAAACTACTGAATATTCTATTGAAGACTTTTCTTATTGCTATTGATGAAGTGTCTATTACTGGAACTATTGTTTCATTGCATAATTTGAAGACTATTTAAAACATACTTTGGTGAATGTAGTTAAATAGTGATGGGAAACTATTTTTTTATTTAATTATTTAGCTATATGTATCATCTGACACTTTCAGCATCCAGCACTCAACTACTACCAGACGAAGACATACCTATTTGTGATTTTATTTTTGTTTTTTTGGTTCTGTTCCTTCTTCTCAGAGAAATCTTAACAGAATGTAACATTTTTCTGGAGCAATAAGCATATGCAGTCTTAAAACACTGATGCATTATGCCATTTCAACTAATGAGGAAAGTGGAGGCGGCATTCTTTTCTATATGTATTTTAAGCTATCCTAGTTATAATGGCTATTTAACAAATTTAATGAGACAGAAGAGGTTTGGCATCTTTTGAAGTTGTCTCCTGCTGTAGTCAAAACAACTTGCCTTCTCAGTGCTCAGTGGATAAAAAAAAAGCAAAAAAAAGAAAAAGTGTTTACTACAAAAAAGTAGCTTTTATAGTAAAAGCATAGTTTTAATTCTGTGAGGAGGCTGTTCTCTTGAGAAAAACATCAGCCCTGGTTGTTTGATGTAAAAGCCTCTGTTCCTCTGATGGTAACTTCTGTTCTGCTCAGTGCCAAAGCAGGAAGTAGTGAGTCTTTTGGCTGAGCGTACAGTGTGTTTGCAGCCTGAGACGTAACCCAGGGCAAGTACTTTTAGCTGCCTGTGTTCAAACTGCTGGTACCACAGGGGTTGTAGCAAAAAAAAAATAAAAATACATAAGAGCTTTGTCGGAGGACGAACTGTATGCAGGAGGCTGCAGCTTTAATGATCTGAACAATCCGGTAGAAACTGTTACAACAAAACTAGAGCCATGACATCTATATGGCAACTGGACTGGAAGATTTAGTTAAATATTATTGTTTTGAATTGTGAAAACTAATTTTTTAACCTGCCGGGACAATTCCAGTAAATGCTGGCAAGCTTCAGGTGGACTAAGTGGCATCATTCTAGTCAACTGGGGGTATTTAATGATATAACTACCTCCACATTCAGTGCCTCTTTGCTTGACACCATAAAATGATTAAAAAAAAAAAAAACATACAAAGTCTCAGGAAAAAAAATGTAAATCTCTACAAGTCTGGCTCATCCATGGGAGTGATTTCTAAATGCCTGATAGTACCGCATGCATCAGTACAAACGATAGTACTGTGTGCAAGTATAAACTCCATGGGACCACGTAGCTGTCATACTGCTTTGTGTCCTAGAAACAAACATACTTTGGTGCAAAATGTGCAAATCAATCCCAGAGGAAAGCAAAGGAACTTGTGAAGAGGAAACAGGTATAAAAATATGTGCTGTATGCCCACAGTGAAATGAGTCCCACATCAACGAAACCTGCTCCAAAATCATCAACCAAACATGACTACAATTTCAACTATTTGGCCATCTTTGTATTTGGGGGAGAAAGGGTGAGCTTTGAAAGCTGAATCATTCCAACCATGAAGCATGGTGGTGGCAGTATCATGGTGTAGGGTTTGCTTCGCTGCATTTGGGGAACTTTACATAATAGCTGGTATCCTGGGGAAGGAGAAGTATATGGACATACTAACGCAACAGTTTAATCAGCATCAGCCAATATGTTAAAACTTGGTTGAAAATGGGTCTTACAACTGGACAATGACCTAGAAAGAACTGAAAAAGTGTGGAGGCCTACAAACCTGACTTTACCAATGTTGTCAAGAGGAATGGGCCAAAATTCCAGCAACTTAATGTGGAAGCTTGTGAAAGGCTTGACCCAGGTAAGTAATTTAAAGGCAATGTTGCCAAATACTAACAAAGTGTATGTAAACCTCTGATACAATGGGAATGTGACTAAAGAAGTAAAAGCTGACATAACTGACCCAAGACAGGAAATGCTTACGAGAATGATATGTCAGAAAAATGTGTGAGAGTAAATCAAGAGTAAATTTATTTGCCTAAGGTGCATGTAAACTTCCACTTTAAACTGTTTACACACAAACATAATGGAAATGAGGCTTTTGACATACTGTAAGCCTGAACCTGCTACATCTCTCTCTCTCGTCTTTCTTTTTATTATCTGTCTCAATTTCCTCTCTCCAACACCTCTCACAATTCCCTTTAGAGATACAACAGGATATAAGTGGTCATGGCACTTGGTTTCCACGGCAACCCCAGATTGCGCTGTCTACGCAGGCACGCATCAATTAAGAAAAACACAGAAAATGATGGCACGAGAAAACAGAGATGCTGGGATCATAGGAAGGTTAAAAACAAATGAAGAGACAATTTGAAAGGTGAGTGCGAGACAGAGAGATGAAACAGAAAAGCTACAGTAAGTCACGACGGCTCCTGTAAGATTTTTTTTTTTTTTCCATTACAGAGGCTGGGTTTTATGGTCTTTTTAAAAGCAAGAACCTGCAGGGGTCCATCTACGGATTTGCAGGATGTGAAGTGGGTATGTGTATCTGTGTGTGGGGTTCAGTCACAGCAGTTATTCTCGCCTTCCATTCGTGCTGGATTATCAGTGGACTTAACCTTTCTCGCATCTTCCCCTTTTCCATCGCTCACTGAGCTCTCTATCGCTCCATCTCTCCCTGAGATTCAGATAACCTTTACTCATACGACAGTAGAGCTGAAACAATGAAAGACAAATATCAGCCATGCTGATAAAATAATACTCAAATCTATTATTCCATCTCCCCCCTTGCCTTTCTCTCTCTGTGGATATCGTTCTTGATCTCTGGCAGTCTCTACCTCTGTTTTTGTCTCTCAGCTTCTCCACTGTCAATCTCAGCATATGTCACTTTTTCCGACCTTGAGAGCTTCAAACGGCAACGCACACCTGAGGAGGGCAGCGCTCATCATTGTAGGATCAAGGTGAATCTTTCATGTGTCGAAAGACAGGCTAGAACTTATACACAAGCTCCCCCGAACACATGGCATTGCATCACATCAGTCAGAGCTGTGTCTCTCGAGGGGATGGCAGTACATTTGAATGGATATGGAGCCATTTTGGGGTCGAGGGCAAAGCAGCCCTTGATGATTTTGTCATGATTTTGTCCCTGAAGAACAAATGTTGGGGCTGTCTGACTGACACATCTGTCTGATGAGCTTTAGGTGCCTCCTGCATACTTAGATGTCATGCCAGAAAACTACAAATAAAAGCTCAGACAAAGCCAGACGACTCAACTTTTGAAGCCTTTTGATTTTGGGGGAGATTTGATTTGTATTCTTTGTTACATCAAACCAAGTTATAAAAAATTAATATGGACTTGATATCTGCAGCCAATAAAGTTAGACAGTTTCTATTTAGCTCCAATAAGCTGCAAAGGAAACTTTTTGGTTAAATCCTTGTTA